CTACCACTCAACACACCTCTTCACCACTCAACACGCAGCACACCTCTTCACCACCCACCACTCAACACACCTCATCACCACCCATCACTAAACACACCTCTTTACCACTCAACACGCAACCCTCCCCTTCACCACCCACCACTCACCATACCTCTTCACCACTTAACACGCAACACACCTCTTCACCACTCAACACGCAACAAACCTCTTCACCACTCAACACGCAACACACCTCTGTACTCGGAATACGAGCAGGGTATCATCCTTGCGAATGACCAATCAGATCACTGCTCAGCCCTCACCACACCGTACTCACAGCACATGCGCTACTGTGTGGTTGTACTTGCTATACTCCACGTTGTAGTATTGTGTAGCAATCTGCCGTGTTATTTGTTGTGCACAGGCTCATACTAAACCAAACAGTTGTATCTACGCATGAAAATTATCTCACCCTTGTGACTCTGTATTAACTATTCGCAAGTATACAATGCCGCTCTTGTTGTTCTGATCTCCTTGTTGCATCTGACATCACTCGCACGGGATGTGTGAAGAAATTCAGCCGAATAGCATACAGCGAAGATAGACCTGGCAAGAAACACATCACCATAATCTGAACCCTAAAACCCTAAAACCCTAAAACCCCAACACCCTAGCCACGTATGCGATTATACACTCGCAGACGCACAACGACCCATTTTATGTTTCTACGTTAAATGGCATCGCTATGACAACCACCACTCGTAAACCCATCGAATTATTTAAGGGTTTTACGTATATGTTTTTAGCTAAACCACAGTCACTGTATGTTCTATCAGGACGCCATAGGCACTGAGAAGCTCGAGAAGGTGCGACGACCTGAGTTTGAGGAAGAGGATGAGCAGGAGATATACTTCAAGCACATGCAGGTACGCTAATACAGTGAATGTATGCCATTCTCATGGACACTGCACACTGTCTAGAACGAACGCATGGTAGGGTTTTGGTATGTGGTATTGTATGGCTGATTTCATACTATAAATTGACATAACCACTGACTTTTTTGTTTTGTTTTGGTTTTTTTGGCTTTTCTGTTCGGACTGTACATGTTTCCCGATACAAATCCACTTACCTACCACCCACACAGGAAGAATCAGCGCGCAAAGCACTCCTGGGCGAGCCCGAGGATGAACTACAGTACGACAGTGACGACAACCTCATTCTGGTGGAAGCAGACACTAAGGAGATACTGCCACTGCCAGATATAGACCACACAGAGATCACATACAGACCCTTCAACAGTAACTTCTACATCGAGCACGCGGACATCACAGCCCTTTCACACGCAGAGGTACGCGAGAGTCGTGTCACGATGGGAGCGTGCGAGGTTGTGCGTGTTGTGTCAGGTGTTGTGTGTTATATACCAGTGTCACATGTTTGTGGGGTTGTGTGTGTTGTGTCAGGTGTTGTGGTTTATATACCAGCGTCATATGTTTGTGGGATTGTGTGTGTTGTGTCAGGTGTTGTGTGTTATATACCAGTGTCACATGTTTGTGGGGTTGTGTGTGTTGTGTCAGGTGTTGTGTGTTATATACCAGTGTCATATGTTTGTGGGATTGTGTGTGTTGTATCAGGTGTTGCGTGTTATATACCAGTGTCGTATGATTGTGGGGTTGTGTGTGTTGTGTCAGGTGTTGTGTGTTTTATACCAGTGTCATATGTTTATAATCTTTCCTATGTTGCACCTTTGCCAGTGTGTTAATTCCCTCAGTATGGGCTTCTACATGAACCGTCCGTATTCTGCAGTGCTCACACCTGCAGAGACACAAAGCACACATCACGTGGGGGTTGAACAGTATTGATTGACTGTCGCCTGTCAAGTGTCATGTGTCACATGTCTGTGCCATGCGCTCTGCGTCACGTTTAGTAAACCCTAAACCCTAAAAACCCAAGACAGTTGACTATTCTGCGCTTACATTTGCACATGAGTATGCTGATACTATAGCTCTGGCAGCTGCCGAAGTAGGCGTGGCACGTGCCGTGTTGATGTTATGCGCATTATGTGTCACGTGTCACGTGTTATGCATTATGTGTCACGTGTCATATGTCACGTGTCATGCATGATGTGTCACGTGTCACGTGTCATGCATTATGTATCACGTGTCACTTGCCATGCATTATGTGTCATGTGTCACGTGTCACGTGCCATGCAGTATGTGTGATATGTTGCTGTTCTGTCTTGTGTAGCGCATGTGATGACATAGGACTCCTTGATGAACACGTAGATATTTCAAGTCTCCCATTCACCGAGACTCTGGTAGTAGTATCGTGAAGTACGTGTACGGTGTCACGTGTCAGGTGCCGGGTGTCAGATTCCATTTTTCAGGTGTCACATGTTGGTGTCAAGTTTATGTATGTGCTTTGTGTACGCTATGGTTGTATACCATTACATAGGTGTCATGTGTCTGCTAAACCGGCTGTTCCTAGCCATGCTTTGCGTATTAGCTGTTCTAAAAAGCACCGGCAGCCATACGGTTAGACGTAGTTCGGATAAAAATTTAACCTAAACTATTTGCGTTCATGCTCAGGTTGTTCAACTGCGTAAAACCCTGGGCGTTCGAATGTCTGGCCACGAAGCAGCCAAACCAGTCACCAGCTTTGGACACTTTGGATTTGACGATGTAAGTGATTGCAGCTTTTTGGCTTTGTAGTGTGTAGTGTGGTATGTGTTTGTGCGACGACAGATACGATGGGAAATAATCGGCTGCAAATGTAATTCGGGATTGGTTTTAAAGTGAGTTTTCACAGTACTTTATGGATGTATAGAGGTGCAATACAAAAGCGTAGCATAACATCTCTATATGCATGTGCATAAGTATAATTTATTTCAGGTCTATCTACATTTAGATGGTCATACAATTGAGTGCGATTCCGATTTCATTACGCGGAGGATACTTCTACACAGTACACGCGTGCATTTAGAAAAAAATTGTGTGCACAAATGTGTGCATGAGTAGGAGGATTACTTCTACACAGTACACACGTGCATTTAGAAAAAATTTGTGTGCACAAGTGTGAGCATGAGTAGAAGGATACTTCTACACAGTACACACGTGTATTTAGAAAACATTTGTGTGCATATGTGTGTGCATGAGTAGGAGGATACTTGCATACACCCCTTGAACGGTTTCGTTACAACCTTATAGTATTTATACAATGTGTTCGCTATGTGGTTGTGTGTATGGGTTTAGCCTTTTGTTCCTGCATTAGAGCGAGTCTGTGTGCCGAAAATATGTCCAAATTGTATTACATTTGCTGTATTTTAGCCGTTTTCAGGTCTATTTTCGACCTGTATAGGGCGGTAATCCGATCAAAAATAATAACTTTGAAACACTTCACCTCGGGTTTGGTACTCGATCAGAGTTAAGGCACATTTGAGACCTCGATATAAATAAGTACGCATCGACAACAGAAGCGCAAAATTGGATCTTGAGTTGATTATGACCCAGCCAAATTCCACACGAAACCGGTGTAATTTCCAAAAATTTACAATGTCCAAATAGCGCACCCCTCTTATTGCCTAATACTAATTCAACTTTTCACTATGATTGGCCAATTCTTCAAGTACTTCCGCTTACAATGAGCTGTCGGATGACCTTTTGACATCTGGCAGCCCATTAGCGTACTGCTCATTCTATTTACAGACTTCCCATTCTATTTATAAACTAGGCTAATCCATTCACACAATCTGCTCATTTTATTTATAGACACTGATGGCATCCATCCGTAAAATGGGGTTTTCGCAACCGACACCCATTCAGTCTCAGGCCATTCCTGTGGCGATGAGTGGTAGAGATGTCATTGGCATGGCCAAAACAGGCAGTGGCAAAACTGCAGGTGAGCTGCTGTTTGCACATGCGTCTCTCTCTCTCTATATATATATATACATATAT